AAAAAAAAAAAAAAAGTCACCCAATACCGGATCAATTTCATCAGTATGATCTTTTCTGTGCCCAGGATAGGCCTAAAAATGAGTTTTGCTTTATAACAGATTCCCTCAATCTTAAAGTTTGAAATTTATGATTCTTCAAAGAGACACTCACTTGCTCCAGGTACCACCAATAAATATAAACCTTCAAGCGTAGCGACCACTGCATCACCATATAAATTCTTCCATGGGATTTTTAGAGTGAGTTTCTCTGTTAATACAAACAAATATACATTATCAGGCAATTTATATATACGACAAGACTCTCTCTGTATGCATCTTGGTATTGCTATATATTTTTTTATACAACTCGATGCACTTGTCATTGAAAATGTTTTATGTATTTGCATTGCCTGTATTGTGCCTCCTTGTTTCACTGTACTGTGCCACCAAAGATGATGGCGCTACATAAAACATGATTTTTGTACTTACCATAGAATCTGTTACTTGGAGTTCATCAAGGGACATAGAATCAGATGTAAATGAGACAATTGGATTATACTGCTGCCTTTAGGAGCAACTGGACACTGGCAAACCAAAATGCTATTAGCCAGTCAGATATAACCCCACTCCCATCATGCTTCAGTTTTGTAGAAAGCAATACAGGAGTAGATCACAAAACATACAGGAGTGGGACTTGTGCCCCTTGATGAACTCCAAGAAACAGATTTTATGGTAAGTACAAAAATGTTTTCTTTTGTTCATGGTGGCACACAGGTTTAAATGTAAATTAGAAACAAGTGGGAAGTCCAAATGCAGCCTGCTGAGGTGTGGGTAAGCCACAGGGGGATGCAAACAAAGTACGTTATACCACGTTAAAAATAATCCACCCAAAAAAATAGGTGGAATTAGGGATGCACCGATGCCGATACCGAGTTTTAGGGTAACATACACTTTAAAGAATAATAAAGAAATAATTGCTAAATAATATCAGTGATATGGGGGTTGAAATCATGCAGGAGCTCTGAAATCGACAGTTTCTTTCCAAGCAGGAAACCTACTACTGTTTCAGAAATGCTCTCCAGCCCATCAATAGTTAACATGCAGATCACCCTATCTTTTCTACCAATAACCAACGTCTGATGAAAAGATCAAACTGCGGTTTTCAAAGCTTGCGTAGATGAACATCTGTGTGTGACTTTGATATTTGCCTAATAAAAGGTTCACTGATTTTATCCACTTAACGCACACAATCCAAAGAGAGAATGCAACAACCATGGCAACTAAGCACCATTTTTGGAAGGTGGGGGAAGAAATGATTCAAGAGGTTGCCTGTGATTTGCTTTTGGCCATCTTTACATCTAATAAAGCAGCTGGGTGACAGATACCTTAAGAATAAAATTAAGTTATTAATGATAATTTAAAAAAAAAAAAAGATCTTACGTAAGTAAAATGGAAAATGGGTTAATGGTGAATATAAAATGAAAACTAAGCAGAATTAGAGACAGCCACACACATATGAACCACTTAGGTTCCAAAATACTCAGACACTTTTTTTTTTTTTTTATCTAGCGCAAGTAAAGTGAAACTCCACAAATGCTTTTCAGTGGAAAAAAGGGTAACTCACACTTCTACTTTAAAGTAGTATTAAACGCTCACACTTTGTTCAATTATAAAAGCAGATCGAACAAATATATGGCTGAGCAAAGTATTTCCTGAAAGTTTTGCCCAAGCTTACTTGGGCACTTGCACTCGCAGTCATCATGTTTACAAACAGCTGGACCCAACTCTCTCAGCTCAGATTCCCTGGACTTCCTGTCCAGTACAAGATGATCATAGTCTCCAGCAGCTGTCCATCTACCAGCCTGAGGAAGGAGGAGCCTGGAGAAGGGCAGTGGTTTGCCTTGCTGTGCCTGTGTGTTTGTAGACACACACAACTTACTAGCACACACAAGGGTGTCTCCATAGGCCTCTGAAAGGGAAATGAGACACCCTAAAACAACATATCAGGGCCAGTGCTAAGGGGACCAGCTAATTCTGCAGGAAACTAAAACTTTTAAACATAAAGGAGCAGCATCTATTGTAAGTGATTTCATCAGCATTTGAAAAAGCTCAAAAACATTTTGACTTTAATATCACTTTAAATATCTTACACAAAGCACTTCCAGTCTACTATCCGTGTCAGAAATGTCTCTTCTATTGCAACTCACTGCCCAATCCCATAAAAGGTTAGATAAGGAAACAATCACATTTGTTTGAGGAAAACAGTGAAGTACGACTCTACAGACACCCTATGGCTATACGAACATGAGGCAGGGAACACCAATCGCCCAAAACAAACTTTCCCAAATGATATGCATCTCAAGCTGAGTTTATACTAAACTGGCCCTAAATGCCTTTATCTTCAAGTTCTTTCCCATAAATTATCAGGCAAAAGAAAACGCAACAAAAATGTAAGGGAAAGTCCACTTTTTGAGAAGAAATAACAAATGCACTTCTTAATAATAAAAAAAAAACACTTTTTTTTAAATTGGAGCCAATAAAGCATTGCAAGCAAGCACAATAAGTAGATCAACGCTCTGGCTCCTGTAGATTCTTCCTCCTGTCCATGTTTCCGAATCATTCAGTAACACAGATGGGAGGAAGAATGAATGTACTACAAGTGCGGTAATGTCACTGCACTTGTATTCCATTGAGAACTACAAGTCCATTTGTTGTGGTTGTTTATGGGACTTGTAGTTTCTGCAGCCACAGATCCTGTCAAAGGATCTGTGAATGTATGACACCGCTGAGCGGGCAAAGCCATGCACAGCCACGCCAAATTCAAAATACAACAGCAGCCTGCAGGGAGATGAACCCCACAATTCAGGTAAGGATCTGTGAATGTATGACACCGCTGAGTGGGCAAAGCCATGTACAGCCACGCCAAATTCAAAATACAGCAGCAGCCTACAGGGAGATGAACCCCACGATTCAGGTAAGGAAAGGGGGCGGAAGGGAAGGGTAAACCTCAGTTGAGTGCTGCACTACATTTGTCATGAATCCAACATCTACATCCATTACAGACATAGAAAACCAGAGGCCTGGTTGGAACAGATGTATCACAAAGTGAAATCTGTCCCTTCCATCTGGACAAAGCATAGCTTGTGCAAAAATATATTATTGTTACAGGTGATTTTTTTTTTACTTTCAATTTGCAGAAGGCATGTTCTTGGCAAGAGAATCCATCTTTGGCAACCTTACAAATATGACTTTTCACTAGATTTCCCCAAATCTTTATCCTGCTGGTCGTGCAACTGTCTGCAGAAATGTGTAATGAGAGGCCAGAAAGTAAAATACAAATACCCCAAGCAATGTAATAACGTTTGCTCAGCAATTTCAATATCTGGTCTGGAAAGGATTGTTTTTCTCTTTTTCAACAAAACCGGTCTGTTACTTTAAAGCACAAAGATAAAACAAACAAACATAAATAGATACCTATCAGAGATACAAAATTAGAATTTGCCATCAAGCCACAGCATCACTAAATATAAAGTACGCACCTATTAGGCCAACTTTTACTTTAAAGGGCACATCAAGTTCACTCTGAAAGGAAAAACCATATTATTTGTTATAAAGCATAAATAAAGAACCCCAAGCTAAAATTAGCATTCTCATTTATTTAAACAAATGCTATTGACGTTAATTATTGTGTTGTCTAGATTTCAGTTTCTCTTATAATTTCTTTCTTTTACAATAAATGCAGAGCCTTACTACTTTTTGGGTCCATGATGCCTCCCTCTTCCTGAAATACTCACCCGCCTTCTGGAGGAAGTTTACTCCACACCCAATCACTCACTGTTTCTCTAACATTTCTCTGCCATGGGCAAGGATGAGTCCCGTGTGAGACCGAAGCACCAAATGGGTGTCTCAGTCTGTGCAGCCCAACAATTGCCTCTGACTGACCCAGAATTTGCCCTGAAGGACCAGAAATGTCATAGCTGCAGCACAAGATCAGCCCCAAACAAAGCCGTCTACAGCACACTGGTAAAAATGTCAGGGTTCCAACTTTTAGGCTTTTAATGGGAGCTGCAAGGGGAAGTTATGGTGCTAAAGTCCATCTAAACCCAAAACCAAAACATTTTAACAGGGTTATTGACTAAAGTGAGAAGAGTTTGGACAAGGTAGGAGAAGTGAACAATCTAGGACAACATAGCCAAATCTTTCCAAATCACCAATGTTGTCCTAGATTGGGGGAAGGCAGAAGAAGTGAACAAACTCTTCACCCTCTTGTGAATAACCCTGTAAACATTGCAGTGTCCCTGTCCTTTGATATGGCAGCTGCATTAAATTTCCTTTTTTGCTATTTTCACCTAGTAATTCTGCAAATAATACACTTCCTGCTCCTTTTGACAAAACTCACTTCTCCATTGGATCTGTGGTGGCAACCATAGTTGTCACGTAGAGTGGACTTCAAACATGTCTGCCTTTGTTCATCCCCAATACATGGTGGATTGATCAAGATAGGTTATTTGTGCTTTCTTCATAGCTCACAGGAAATGACTAAGACACTGCATTTCTAGCAAGTTCAACGGGTATTTTCTGTACTTGCTGAAAATCTTTGTATACTTGAAACAAGAAAACAAATGCAGCCACCACATCTAAGACTGGTAAGATGCAATAACGAAATAGTACTGTAAGCAAAAGGGGCACTTCTATTTCAGCCCAGCCAAAATTAAGCTATGCAGGTAGCTGCTACATCGTTTGCAATGTTCAGCTTTAGACAACTTCTTGTTATATTATTGCTAATGAAAATGAACTCCAAAGCTTAGTGTACTGAAACTGTTATAATGGTTGAGTGGTGCTTAAGTGCAATTGTATAACGGAAGAAAAATTATTATTGCTGTGCAAAATAAATTAAATAAACTAGGCTGTAACATTTATTTGGAAACATAAATAAAAATAATAAAAAAATAATACATTTTAAATTAACTCACCAGGGCATTTTCACGAATCCTCAGGTTCTCTAGTGACACATTTCCTGGAAGAATAAAAAAAAAAAAAGGAGATGCTCAGAGACATCAGAGGATTAACATCCACTGGAAAATAATTTAATTTAGTAACCATGAAATCCATTTACAGTTTGGTAACAAATGTAGCATCAAGTCCTATCAACACATTTTCAGTATAACAGCCGAGTGTAAAAAAAAAACAAAAAAACAATAAAACATACAGTGGCGCTGGCACCCTTGAAACTATAAGCCAATGTAAAACAGGCCTGTTAACATCATCACAGGCTTTTCCCCTATACAGTAGAATGGGAGGTTGCTAGTGCAGAGCTCACTAGCTTGAATTATTATTGTATTATTACCTTCGTTAGATGATGTCACACTGCAGATGTAAAGCTACAAGGCTGTAGGTACACAAGTGCCTAGGCACAATCACATTAAGAAGTGCACTACCAGCGCACCTCTTAGATCTTGCTGTAGATCTACAATGTTATCCAGATATGTTTAGCCTCTTTTTTTCTCATGAATTTTCCTCCAAAATAATTAAAGTCCACATTTTCAACAAGTGGACTCCTCTAAAATTAGTCAATACTGACAACCCAGGAAAATAAATTAACTCAGCCGAAAAATATATGGAACAGTGTCATTCAATGGCTAAGGAGTTTAAGACTCAACATTTATTCCAATACTGAAATCTCTTTAATAACGATATCAGAGGGGTGAATTTGTGCAATATAAATGCACACAGAATAAATGTCGTCGTACCAACCCCCCCCCCGCACGGTGAACAGTGAACAGAAAGATTGCCATTTTAAAAAGTGACACTACACTCAAGAGTTAAACCTTAAAATACATTCATGTACCTTAGGGCTTCTTGTATTTAATATTTATCTAACATTTAATACAGCTAATAGCCAGATTGTCAAAATGACCACAAAAATTGAGAAGATCAAAATCATAAAAGGGACACTAAACTATAGAGTTAAATCCTAAAAATACATTCAAGTACCTTAGCTAATAACGAAAATGTAACTTATTTGTGTATCACTCGGCTGTAGATCCTCAAATCATCTCTGAATTCATGCTGACACTGTCCTTTCTTCTGGAGAATGGCTACTTTTATTGCCCATGGTCCCCGTGTGTGTTGTAAAGTAGCCACCGCTCCAAGCTCGCTTCCATGATGGACTACATACTAAATGTGAGATCGTAGTCCATCACGGGAGTAAGCTTGGAGCGGTGACTACTTTACAATACACACGGACCATGGGGAACAAAAGTGGCCACCCTCCAGAAGAAAGGACAGTGTCAGCATGGATTCAGAGATGATTTGAGGATCTACAGTTGAGTGATACATAAAGTACAATTTTGTTAATAGTTAAAAAGGTACTTAAATGAATTTTTAAGATTTAACTCATGAATTTAGTGTCACTTTAATTATTTGAAATTTCTCATTTTTTGTGCCCATTTCAACAATCTGTGTATTAGCTGTGTTAAACTTATAGGTAAATATTAAATACAACTACCTAACTACCAAAAGGGTATTTTATCAGACAATTTGCCAAAAAACAAACAACAACGATGGTATGTGCCAAAAGGTTAATACTTCCTTAGTCACAATGAAAATTCAGAGGTGTGGTGATAACAGAAGGGAGGATCTCTGATTTTCTGCCATAGATAGAAGCTTATGGGCAACCTAAGGAATACTCCCAAATCTGGTTTTAAGATTTAAAAAATACTTTTTCTTATAAAAGGCAGGTAATCAATACCCTCATATAAATACACCACACATATGCAAAAACATCTAAAATAAAAGATATAACTTTGCAGATAAATAATTTCTATGTCTATTTCATTGAATAAACATTTTCACAGTTGACATAGCGAAAAGCAGAAAGACCGGAATAACGTGCACTGCATGAAGCCTAGTTTAGAACATGTCATTACCAAGGGAGATAAAGTGCTATACAAAAGGGATTAGTTGGAACCGCAGATCCCACATTATTTATATACTCATTTTATGTCCCCTTAGGTAACCTCCAGACTGCAACTGTAAGAGAACAGGATCTGAACTGCTTGAACAATTATAAATACATTTTTGAAATTGGTCAGACACAGAAACAAAAAAAGCAAAACCTGGCTGTTATTACCAGCAGAGATGGCAATTCTTACAATAATTTATAGTGACAGACTAACAGCAAAAAAGATTTAAGTACTTTTCAAACAATTGTCTCTGTAGACAAAAAATTATTACCATGTCTAGCAGACTGACAATGGCTATCAAGAGACACTTAGGACTTAAATCTTAGAAATACATTCAAGTACCTTAATTATCAGAAAATGTAGCTATTTGTGCATCACAACAGGGGTGTTGACGTTTTTTTTTTAAAAATATTACTTGCCCAATTTGGGGGGGTGGAGCCAGATCTGAGACGGTACTTCCATTTTCCCAAATTGTGAACCTACCCTTTAATACACATTGTGTGTGTAAGAGAGCGCTGCTGCCCAGCTACCACATTATGGCACACAGTGGAATGGGGGCAGCACTCAAGAGCACACACAGTGCCCTACACGTGCGTTTATTTGCATGCAGATGGTGGAGGCGGCAGGGTTGGTTTTAAAGTTTTTTTTATTTAACTTTATTATCTTTTACTCTTTTATCACTTTTGTTTTACTATGTTTTACCTTTTGTCACTATTTTTATTCATTTTATTATTTTTTATTATTTTTCGGACACCGGCCCGTGCAGCATTCGTCTTCCGAGCACGCCACTAACCCGCCAAAAACCATGCGGTTTTCGAGCGTGCTCGAAAGACAAAAGACGTGTGACCGTACAGTAGAAACGGTTGCACAACTTCCATACACTTGCCGATTATCGTACGATCGCGGGATCATCCCCCAATTATTGTACGATAATCGGCAGGTGTATGGGCACCTTAAGGCTTCTTTCACGCCACCAACCTGCCGAAAATCGTTTTCAAGCGTGCTCTGAAGACGAAAGTCGTGCGACCGTACAACTGCCGATTATCGTACGATCGTGGGATCACCCGCGATTATCACACAATAATTGGCAGGTGTATGGGCACCTTAATACAGAACAGATCTTCTGTGCAGTTTCTGACAGCTGAGACAGGTGGCGCTGTGATTACAGCACTTCTGTTTCACTGATCACAGAGAGCAGAGCGGAGGATGGACGCTCTGCACTCTGCTCCACACTTTCCATCCTGAACTCATTTGCCATGGTTCAGGGTCCCCGAAAGGAGCGGAGGACACGGAAAACCACGGCAGGGAGGAACAGAAAAACAGGCTGGTAAAAGTGATCTGATCAGATAACTTGTATAAAACGTGCAGCGGCTCCCTATTCTACATTTAGCCCTGCTAGCCTGAAGCAGGGCTAAATGTGGGGAAAAAACCTACCCGTCTGGCGCCCAAAAGTGTCCCAGCCGTCGGGTGATAGGAATTCTGCACCCCCGCACAAATAAGATTCATTTTTGTTAACAGTCTAGGTACTTGAATGCAGTTTTAAGATTTAACTCCTGAGTTTAGCGTCACTTTAAAGAAAGCATTTTTAAACACTCTTCTAAACTACCCTGACTTTGTGTTATAAAGCATAAAATAATGTAAAAATGCAAAAAGAAAATTTTTATTCTTTAATCCCTAATTTGTAGAACACCTTTAGAAGCATGATTTGAAAATAAAGCAATGGCTCATTTTATTAGGCCTATAGCAGAAAATGAAGCCTGTTGGAGAAAATCTCTTTCTACTGCGTGCTAGGGACAGCAAACTATACATTACACACAGTGCAGATTAATGAAACAGTGGCCCGTTATCCCTCATCATCACAAGACACTTGGACATCTTCCAAGAAGTCACTTTTTTTCCATAAGGATATATTTTTTTAAATTATAGTGTATATATCAAAGAAGTCACTTTTTTTCCATAAGGATATATTTTTTTAAATTATAGTGTATATATCAAAAAACTTACAAACAAGTACAGGAAATGGACAGGTGTAGGCTAAGAATACATAACATATAAATACATAAATGGGGCGCATAAAGTTCCCTATAAGAGGTCAGGGAATTTAAAAGGTATGTAAATAGTCTTGTGCTGCAAGCAATTGGGTCCTACAAGCATGTAATATTTGATCGGCAGATAGACCAGCCAGATCATATTTTGAGATGTCAGACTCAGCCAGGGCTGCCAATGGTAGACTGTCACCTCTTGTAATTGCCTGGGGAACATGATGTATATATCAGGGAATATTCCCACTTCTCTAAAACTAGTAGTCCAGGAAATTTCTGTGTGAATTAAAGAAGGGGAGGTTTAGGAGGAAAAGGATGAGAAAGGAAGCGGGAAGTGCAAGAAAGGGGAGTGGGAAGAATGAAAACAAGGGGAATGTAGGGGTTGTGGTAAGGGCAGTAGTAGATGGTCCCCCATGGGAGTCAAGTAGGTATTACGGCAATTACCGTATATACTCGAGTATAAGCCGTCCCGAATATAAGCCGAGGTACCTAATTTTACAAAAAAAAATGGGAAAAAGTATTGACCCGAATATAAGCCGAGGGTGGGAAATGAGGCAGCTACTGATAGATAGATACCAATAACATGACATTAATATTTATTTAAAAGAAAAATAACCTAGCTCTGTAAGTGGAAAAGGGGGTACAGGGCTACATATCATGTACTACGGATCATTTAACCCATTCATATTAGCAGAGGATAATTGTAAATCTATTGTTCAGTGCACTCTATATGTAGTATATAGTACATGTACATATAGAGTGCCTGCAACAATACATTTACAATGATCCTCTGCTAACATGAATGGGTTAAATGATCCATAGTACAGGGCTACATACAGATCATTTAATACATTCATGTTAGTATAATTGTAAATGTATTGTCTGCACTGTATTAGCAGTATATACTCTATATAGAGTATATACTGCTAATACAGTGCAGACAATACATATATAATTGCTTAATTAATCTCTCTCTCTACCCCATGACAGAGAGAGATCTATATATGGCT